AAATAGGGCTCGTTCACCTGCCGCGATGTGAAGTATAATAACATCATGTTCCTTTATGAGCGGTTTCATTATGCGCTGCTTCTGTCTAGAACTTCTTCGGTTGACTGTGGCGTTGCGAGCTTCACGGTGGCTGTGTGAGGTGTGTTATGTATAGGCGCATGAATAATTGCCAATGCCGTTCCTTATTGTCACTATACTATCAAAACCCTGTTCGAGTTGAGTTGGTAAGGCCCTTATGTTACCAGCCTAGGGGTGCTTGCAATAAGGATCCTAAATCATCCACCTGGTTTTGCGGGTTTGTGCTCGGGCTCTTGGGCAAAGCAATTCTGGCCACGGGAGTACTCTTCCGGGAGGGCTCCTGTGTTGAGCGTCTAGAAGTGAGAGCCCCCTCGACTTTGCAACTCCCAACCTAAAATAGGACCCCTAAAATAATCAGAATCATGTTTTGGGTATTATACAAACAATACAATCACCATAATCAGCAAGCCCCAAGATAGAATTGGCTATATCACTTTGGCCCCTATGTTTTCTGGCGTTGCCCTTTCAGGTTCCGCCCTTGTTCTTGTGGCCTGCCCGGTTTGGGGTTTCGCGTTGTAGCCGATTGAGTGAGCTCTGGTGGCTTCCCTCCCGAACTTTCGAGGAAATTAGGGGTGAAGCTTCGGGCATGACACTGTCTCGTCGCACGCAGTCCAGAAGTGTGGTACGAAGTTTCCTAGCGTCGAACCAAGATCGTCACCCTCCCATGGTGCCATGTGCTGCTGACTTGGCCCTGTGCCCTGAAACTGGAATCCCCCATCCGTTCGGGAGTCCGCTAGTTCTTTGTTCAACACATGCCGGGGCATGGCCAGGTAGTAGAAGGACTTGTCTTGAAAGACCTTGCAGAGCCGGCTCACAGCAGGATACGTTCCTAAAGGTTATGCGGCTTACTGTGAGGACGCAGGTGGAGGACTTATGAGCGATGGCGATGTTGAACAAACACCTTCAGAAGAATCGACATGGAGCATGAGTGTCTCACAGGTACCAGATCTTGTCAACCCATCGTCAACATCAAGAAGTTGAAGGCTTCAGGGATGTGGAGAAGAAGTGTTGTTGGGTTTACGGCTCTGTGGGCTCCTGCTGAACTCCCAATCCCTAAACCTTAAGCCCCTCAGCCCTGCTCCGCCAACCCTGAAACCTACAGCTACTGCAGGCATAAGTAACCTTGAACAACACAAAGCCAATGTCCGCAGAACCCACTTCCTCCATCTCTGATGATAAGGAATATTCCTTTTCCGCAGAATGGAACCACTGTGCAAAGGGATCTGACAAGACTAAGGTATGTTCCTCACTTTGGGTTCAAGTCAGAGCACGTAGCTCAGTACCACAAGAAGAACGTAACTACACGGTTTCCAAATGTCGGCTAAATTGGGGGCTCGAGCATCTACCCAAAGACCCTCAGCCCTATATCCTAAGCACTTATGACGGCTGAAGCATAAAAGACTAAAGGGGAAAACGGTCAAGCTCGACAACGCCCTCAACGGCTAATCCCTCTACCCTGAAACCCGGAAAGAATAACTAAAGGGATATACCCAAACGAAAAGACACCAAAAGGTTAAAGGTCACGTACTCAGCTACTAAATAGTACATTCCTTGCTCAATTCCTCTTCGGCAGTTTCCGGGGAGCGACCTCGTAGGTCTTGGCGATGTGGGGATTGTCCAGAGAAGCCATGAGCACGTACTCGTCCATGAGCTCCTGGGGTTCTGAGATTCGGAGGGTTTTGGGGGAGATGGGGCTTAGGGCAGGGGAGCTTGGGGACTTAGGGCTCGGGCTTTAGACGATACGTGTAGGAATCTATCGGAAGCACTTCCCAAATATGTTGTGCAGTGGCAGGAAGAAGCCGAGCTGCATCCAAACCTCCTGCGTTGGCATCAGCTTTCCTTGCCGTCGCATTCGGGTGTCTGCATGCTTGCTTGAAGGAGGTGCCTAAACGTATGTGTCTACATGTGCGTGTCGTTCTATGTGCATGTGCATACATGTGACGTATCTACACATGTGTCTGGGAATATACATGCGGCAGAATGCGATTGCTGGAAGCAGACTGTCAGAAGACCCAGTGGCTCATAGAACTTGATGCAGTACTTCGTCCTCAGATCCAGTTTCGGCACTGCGAGAGCCAATGTTGTTGCTGCTGCTGGTGCAATTGCTACTGATAGTCTTGTTGGGAAGAAAGTGCTTGTGGATATGGCGGTTACACCGGTCAGAGAAGACACAACAGAACAAATAAACAAGATTGTACCCCTGAGTGTTCACGGTGCATTTATGAATGCTACGATGCTGAATGGCATTGGCTCAAGATCACTGAGGACTGGCTTGGGTCGCATAAGGGAATGATTGTGTGACTGGGTGTGACTGGGGAAAGAGAGTCATCTTGGTTGCTCGGGATTGACTAGATGGTTCCTTTGCTTTTTACACACAGACACACAGACACACACACACACACACCAACACACACACACACACCAACACACACACCACACACCAACACACACACACCACACACCAACACACACACACACACCAACACACACACACACACATTCTCTCTCTCTCCCTCTCTCTCTCTCTCTGTCTTCTTCTTCCTTCAGGTTAAGGGAGCGTGCGAAGCTCCCCGGCCCATNNTCTCTCTCTCTCTCTCTCTTCGATCAGAATGCGAGCTCTTTGCCACTGAAGGAAGTCATACTCACTGTAACTTGCTCGCACGAGGGTTCTTCTTCCATACCTGGCTCCTGACCTTCCCCGTGGTCAGGAGGCCTGCCTCCGACTGCAACCGGTGAAAGGAGCTGAGGCTTCGTTTGAAAAAAATATGCATGCCTTGCTCCCATCACAAACCCCCCAAACTCCGAGCCAGCACGGAAACTCACGATTCATATTTTTGCAGTCGGAATCAAGCGCTTAGTCTAAGCTTATCATCTGACCAACATGACGTGGCTCAAATGGATCGGTTCAGGCTGCAGCACTGTTCGACTCTCGCCAAGATGGGAAGAAAAAATAGCATCATCCCCTGCCGAGAAGCTTGCGGAACCAAGACCATTTGGTACAAAGGTACATAGTGCCTCACAGACTCAGGCTGGAACCCCGCTGACTGTGCCTGGAAGAACTAAGTAGGGTAAAAAGTTACAGACAAATTTAAAGGCTTGCCATGGGGAATCCGACAAGCACCCCTGTCAAGCCGGAATTTATGTTAAAGCTTCCACTGGCCGAGGATTCGAGGCTTCGAGGCTTCGTTGCAATGAGCAGCCCCCTGACACAGTCGAGCCTTGACCTCCGCGACCCAGCTCCTGTCAGGAGAGCTTCAGGGGCTTGGGCTTAGGGTTTAAGGGTTTAGGNNGGGTTTAGGGCTCAGGGGTTAAGGGTTTAGGGTTTAAACCCTGTTGCATCTGGTCTGCAGCGAAAAAACCCCAGACCCTAAGCGCAGTAGACCGAATTTTAGAAGCACTGTTGGCCCTCCCTCCTTGGGATTCACCCTCGGGAAGATCTGTCACCCTTTCAGAAAAAGGGCCAGGACTTTCACATCCTCTTCTCCGACTGGTGCAAGAGGGAGAGTGGAGGAGGGAAGATGGGGACTCCTTTCAAGGATTATAGGTAAGGACTACTATAAGGGGATCCACTCTCCCAATATATAGGGACTACTGTAAGGGGCTATATATAAAGGCTACAAGGCTAAGGGGATCCACTCTCCCAATATAGGGGGACTACCATAAAGGGGGATATATATATATATATATATATAAATATAAATATAAAGGCTACTACGGCCATCCACCTCCCACTCCCCTTAAGCACCCTAAGACCCTACAAAAAACCCCTGAAGCCCACTCGTAAGTTTCGGGAGATCCCCCCCTCTTTCTTTTCTCTCTCCTTCACGACGGTGAAGCCCTGTCCCTTCACGGAGGACAGGGGGACCTTCACCTGACGGCGCCCGCCAAGTTCCTTGGGCACAGGTGGGTTCTGGGCCGCCTTTTGCTGATATCTACTTGTCAAAGCATGGCATTGAGTCATCATGACGAACAGAACAGCTGAAACAAGAGCAAATCCGGGAGTAGTGCTTTTTGAGGTCTACCCTTGATGATGACAGTATTGTGGTCCCTATTGTGCGTTGCGTATCGCTTTTTCTCTGGAGCTAAGCTCTTCTGAAAAGTACCTGCGCCCTACAAACGTCTCGTTTAGGGATCCAGCATCCATGTTAGGACTTGCTTGTAAAGGTCCTGTAAAGTTCAAGGCTTTTTGGCGGTTAAGGTCGGGTTCAGAGTTGCAGCAGAGAGTAGCATCAACAGGCCGCACGAAGCAAAGTGGGAGCCAAGCCGTTCGGGTTCAGGTTTCGGGGGCTTAGAGCTCTTGCTGGGCGACTGGCCCCTACCCAATTTTTCCTCATGGTGCGCATGCGGGAGCGGCTCTGTGAAGCGATGACGAAAATCTGGGGGCCACCCAAGCCAGGGTTTAATGGGTTTAGGGTTTAGGGCCATTCAAAGGACCAGCATGACTTTCACTGGCTCATATATCATCCCTGTACACCCGGCAATCCTTAAAGTCTGTCCTTGAAGGCTCAGAGCCCGCCTTTGGGAACGAGCTGTGTGCATGGCCCTGCCAAGTGCACTATACATGCTAGGACAACTCATGATCCCAAGCCTTTCTGGGTTCATGTGGTCCGTAAGGTGCATTCACGTTTGTTCTACATGCCTCCTTCTTGGGTGTGCGAGAGAAACAGTTTCCCAGGCACTTGCCCGTGGCTGTCGGCGTCCTTTTAAGGCAGCCAACCCTTTGACAAGTGAGCTGAAAACGATTATGCTGACCAGTGAATGCCATGGATGCCTGACGAAAGCGCAAGCCCAGACTTGTTTCGAACTCAACATTGTTTGCTCCACTTTCTGGAGTCTTGGCCCAAGAGGCATGCCACCAAAATGATCCTTGCTACTCAACGTCCCAGATCTACGAGCATGAGCCCCATTTCGGGACTCACCTCCTAGCTAGCCGCGCGTGGAGCAACGGCTGCTCCCAGCGCGTACAACGCAGACGCTACGCAAAGGAGGCAGCCCACGCCGTGGAAGCTGCCCGCCTCATCTCCATGGTTCGTGCAAGGCAGTGCAAGGTGTTTTCTTCGACACGCCCAACTACTGATACTTATTAGCATTCGTGTTCTTACGATTATCGCCAACTGTCGCGGTCATTCTTATCGTTAACCATACTAATGAGAGCTTCTCGAGGCTAGTATTGCTGCTCTCAGCAGTATGCTACAAGCATTCTCCGTATCATTAGATTTGTCATTTCTCCAAACATATTGTATTCTGCCCACTCTCCGGTCTCTGTGCGCCTGCCTGGACGGTCACGGTGAGACCTTGGTATTGAACTGCATCGGTGAATCTGGGTCTGAGGGAGTCCCTCAGTGGGGCCTGTGCCTAATATAGGGGCCTAAATAATTACCTATACTTTTTTGGGGGCTCCTGAGTAGAATTATAGTATACTATACCCCAACACCCTATTCCAATTTGTCAGGCCCCTTTATTAATCGAGGTCTAGGGTTAGGGTGCAACGATTCTTGTTGCTCGTACTTGGCAAGGACGAAGGGTTCAGGTTCGAGTGGGTATTGGAGAAAGCATAAACCAGCATTGGGCAGCTGGCCCTGATTCAATCAATTGAGAAGTTGCGCGTAAGTTTACCCAATCATGTTGCCATGTTCCCGGCGCGATCTTTGCACATCCGAGGCTGGTTGATTGTCGAGGGGGCTGTTTCGCTGTGTCACTTCTAGTTTCCAGCTGTCATTACTTTACGGGCGGGCATGTATCTCTGGAACAGGTGGGCCAGACCGGTTAAGCAGGCTTCTGTCGGTCTGGTATCAGAAGCCATGGTGTAGCCACGACACCAACGGCTGATGGCACAATACCTGGGCAGCAGCACGCTCTGGCCTAATGAGTTCATATGAGTTCAGTGGAAGGACCGAAGGTCCTGAATAAGTGGGATAGGGTCTTGGGGTATATCAGACGATGAGTAAAGGACGGAGCCGGAAAGAAAACCTTTCCTATGTATTCAGGCCCGTATCTATACCGTGTTGGCTCTTCTCTCGTCACATTACATGGCAAATGCTTCTTGGAAGATACACATGCGACTGTAGATTCTTTAGGGTTGTAGAGTTTGCCTGCTGCCACGGAAAAGAAGCGCAAAGAAATGATTATGTCCTCTGATCCCTATACCTGCGACCCTACCCATGGATTTCAGTTACAGCCAAGCTCAATCTCGAAGCGCAGGGTCTAGCAAAAGCCACAGACATCTAAAGGTACTCGGCTAGTATATGGTTTGTGTATGTATATGAAAGTTCATACAACAGAACCCTGCACACCCCTCCCCGGAAACCTCTTAACATGTGCCCTGATCCTTCAAGGGCCTTTGGATGCAGGGATCCTGAAAAGTATCTTCAAGGCCGAAGAATAAGGGCCAATGGTGCCCAGTGGCTTCCGCTGAGGAAACCTCAGATTCTCAACTTTGCGCAGTGCCAAGTAGGAGCCCAAGAAAGCGCCTAAACCTAAATCGTTGAGGGTAGCATTCCTATCAGCAGTCAGGCTTGAATGTACACGATGCTTATCTGCCTTTTTGACCGCTGGCCAAAACTTCAGAGCTATCAACCTGTCGGAACTCCAGGAATATTGACCCCGGAGCAACAGCATCAACAAGCAAGTAATGTTGCTATGATGGATGAAGGAGCAACATGTAAATCTCAGATCTAGGATATTCCTCTGAACCATGGGGTAGGCTTTCAAGCACAACCTTAGCATCCGATGCACCCGAGCAATCCGGATGTGAAAGCAGGCTTTTGCCTGAGCAAGGGTGCGAATGCTGACTGCGATGAGGGCGAACATGTCATCAATTAGGAGAAGTGCACTGATCCGCAGGGGCATGTGATTGTCCATTCTCAGCAGCTATGCTTGGAGTATTAAATATGTGGAAGACTGTCCTCTCAACCCTAAACCCCAAATGGAAGAATGTGCAAATAGACTGAGGGGTCTGGTCAAAATCCGTGAAGCGATCCAGGCCGTGCCGACACAACTTGAAACACTCAAAAACGGACATAGGCCGTAACATCCTCCCTTCCATCGAGAACGTAGGCCCAACCCTCGAGCCCATTGTAAACACCCAAAATCAAAGCCCGGACCAAGCATGGCATGCAGCCCTAAACCCTAAACCCTATTACAGCCATGCTGCTCAGGAGGTTGAGCCGCGCCAATGTGCGTGCGCGGTCGGCGGTCTCTGCGGAACAGCTGGCGAAGGCCAGCCTTGGAGAAGCATGGGGCCCTTTCCGGGTTTGGGGTTAGGGTTTAGGGTTTATGGTTTAGGGTGCACGCTCAGTATGGTTCATAATCCATAACACACAAACCCATTTTTGCGCACTTAGGACTCCATAAGACGATGAATGCTAAGCTCTGAGTTCTGCGGTTTGGGCGTTGAAGAGGGGGTCCATCCAAAAGAAGTCAACACGTCGGCAGGAGCCCGGAGGAGTGCACAGTGCAAGAATTCAGTTTCGGACCAGCGCTTGCAATGTCAACAAGGCAAAGGGTTTAGGGTTTTAGGGGTTCAGGGTTTAGGGTTATGAGTTTTGGGTTTAGGGGTTAAGGGTTTAGGGGTTTAGGGCTTAGCTGTTTGGGGGTTTCGGGTTTAGGGGTTTATACGCTCTCACGACTCGGACATGCCAGGCGAGGTCATTAGGGGTTTAGGGTTTAGGGGTTTAGGGGTTTAGGGTCCATGAGAAAAAACAGACGCAGCTACGCACTCCAGAGTCCGGTGTGCTGGTAAAGCCACCGTTGGGAAGAAGCTTCGCAAATCTCCTTCTGCTAACTTCCAAAACTAAGGACGGCCATGGCTGCAGCCTTGAACAACCCACGACCTTTTCAGATCGACCTTGCCAAACAGCCATCCCAGGTTTACAGTCACTGCTGGCGAGCTGCAGAAGGTTGCACGAGTTCGCCTGGAAACGCCGGGCGGGAGGCGGGAGTCACAGAAAACAAGGAAACCTTATGTAAATCCCTAGAAGGCATAGCGTCCTGTTTTATGAATAACGACAAGAAGGACCTGCACAGGCTTAATTCCAGGAAAACCCCCCAAGGTAGGCTAGCGTATGATCGGCTCTCCTTGTGGCTTTTGCTTTGGTTTGGTTTCTGGGCTTAGCAGTTTGGAGTGCAGAGTTCAGGGGGCCTAAGGCATCTTGACTAAGATTATTCTTTATAGGGTTGACGGGCTGAGGGGCAAATGATTGTCCTGCGATATATCCCAAAGCCCAATTGCGATTTAAGCTTCGTTTTCCGGCTGTTTCCCCCACCCCAGCCTGCGCAATGAGATGCGCGGCACCCAAGACACCGGCTAGCAGCGCATGGCCTCCAGGCGGCTTGGATTAAGTCTTCAGGGAGTCGTAGCTTGTTCACAGTGCCAATGCGACAATCTTCTCTGTTGAAGAGTATGCGACGGCCGCTTCGGTCTATGTATCCAAGGAATCAGAAACGAGCAACATGTTAACCTTTGGGTTTAATGCTCTCACATTTCGGAGCCAAATTGAGGTCTCAAGGTCTAAAGGTTTTGGGTTTTGGGTGCATCACCCAATCAGACCGGAAACCCATAATTTCTGGCTGCGAGAACAGCAGTGGCCCCATGGCCGGGTTCGTCGGCCTTGTGCAGTGCCAGTTAGTGCGTGAACGTTGGCTGCGAGCTACACGGAAAGTAAATCAAAACAGCGTTAATTAAGAAGAATCCAAGAATTTTCCACCTGAGATCCTGACTCAGTTCTTGGGTGCAAGGGGCCTGTTCGTATCTATTTTTCGCATGGCTCTGACTTCAGGCAAGCGTCGACATCGTCCTACCATGTTCCTGACTGCGATACAGATCATGGCAGTTTTCTGCAAAACATCGCCGGCTTTGCGGCCCACATTTGTTGTGCACTCTGCCCCGACTTGGAGAACAGTGTATTACAGTGTATTGTTCATCTGCGCCCCGGCCGAGCTCGACGAAGTGCTTACAATTATAGACAAAGCTCTGCTGTCTAAGAGGCATCCCCCCCCGTTTGTCTGGCCTCTGCAGCCCAAACAGCCCAAGGTGGCCAGGCAGCCTCTCTTTCAGGGGCTTTACCGCGGCCTCATATCGACTAGAATAGGCACACATTACAGCATAAGTCACATGACCCTAAACCCTAAACCCTGAAAAATACCCTCCTCCGGCCCCTGGAAGCGCTTTGACATGTCAGGCCTAGGTCTGACCAACATCTCCCCACAGCTGGCTCCTCCTTGCCTGCGCCCTCCCTACGCTACGCACATATGGGGGTTTCCAAAACTAGGGGACCCTAATATCGTACCCTAAATAGTAGGATCCTTATAAAAAGGACACCAAGATAAGGTACCCCAGCCAATATTCGGAAAGTCCCAAAAGACACATCGCCATGCCAGTCAAGAAGAGCAGTGCGATCGCCGAACATCGGTTCATCAACGTGGACCAAGTCGGTGCAGGCTGTTGGGTCCTAAACCCTAAACCCCATCTCAAGAAGACTTCGCCCTAAACCCTAAACCCGAGAGCCGACCCCAAAACCCTAAAGGTTTAAACCCCATGATCGCAAGAAGGCTTCGCCTGCGGCCAGACTGAGCCTGGCCCCTCGCGCCATTGCATCTGCAGCCTCTCAGTGGAGTTCGGGCTTCAGCTTAGGGTTTGGGGCTTAGGGGTTTAGGGGTTTAGGGGTTCTTTTCCCTCCCACTTAGCAAGGACGAGCCCGCATAGGGGTTTAGGGTTTAGGGGGGGGGGTTGCCTTGGGGCCTTTATGGCCTTTGAGGCCAAAGGCTAAGGATGACTTGGGCTTCGAAGCAGATTTTGGGCCGCCTTTTTTTTGCGATGCTGTTGAGTCGAAGTGGAGTTTCGGATTTTGGGAGGCCATGGTTGGAAGTTGCAGAACAGCAAGGGACCCACCCTCATCTAAGCCGGATCCTCATGACGTCCCCTAAGAAAAGGATCCCGACACCTCAAGAACCACCGTCTTTGGAGATCCAAAAGGGGCGGAGATTCCTCGTCTGCCCCTGCGAGGACGCGGCTCGTCACGAAAATCCCAACGGCCTGATGTCAGTGGTTTCGGGTGGGCGTCAGTTTTTTTTGTAAAGCACCTTTTTCCACCTAGCAGTTAAGGTTTAAGGTTTAGGGTTTCAGAACTAGGGTTTGGGGCTTGTTTCATTTAAGCCAGAAAGGCAACTCAACAAAAACAAAGACTGTTGAAGACAACCGCACTTAGAGGTTAAAGGGCTTTGTGTCACTACTTTCCATTAGCTGCATCAACGGTTAGAGTGGTGATTTTCTTTTCGAGTGCATGCAAAGGTAAGTATAAGCGGCTAGGCGATAGGAGCAGCAGGGTCAAGATCCTCATATTAGTATCCGCGTCTACATTACTGGGGAGCCATCATCCAAACAGAACACCATAGAACCCCTACAGCGAGCGAGGCAACCATTCTAGAATCTGCTATGGTTCCCCTCCAACCCCCTTCAGCATCCAATTACAGAACAACCCCCTCTAGCATCCAACAACAGAACACCTCCTCGGGGTTTTAGAGTATGTCTTTACATCTCTCTGGATAGCCCAAAACCCTAAAGCCCTATTTCCCTCACCCAGAACTCTAGACCCGGAACTACTCGAGCCCTAAACCCCCCGAAACCCTAAACCCCTAAACCCGAAATCCCTAAACTCCTAAACCCTAAAACCCTAAGCCCTAAAGCCCTAAACCCCGGAGCCCAAACTCCGGCCTCCAAGGAGTACATTAACAGCATGGCGCTGGTGGCCGAACTCTGGCTCGCCAGCCAAACCTTGGCTTTCCTTCTTTCTGACTTTCTTTCTGTATGTATGTATATATATATATATACATGTTTATATATATATATATATGTTGTAAAGGACTGTTATGATATGTAATATTCTACAATAGTTATTGTATATTATGTTATATCATAGGGTCTTAGTGGTGTTTACGCTCTCGCAACTCGGACTCAGCCAAGCGAGCCAACCCTACGACCCGAACGGCAAATCCTACACCCTGCGTTGCGAGCTCAAGTCGTCCATGGGGCTTCAGAAGACGAGGGATACCTTATGATTTTGAGACCCCTATGTACATTGTCAGAGTGGTGATCCTCTCATGAAAGGTCGATATCTGGGACCCCTTCTTCGGAAACTCCCGCGAGAAAGACCCAGTACAGGATCTAGTAGGGTTTAGGGTTAGGGTTTAGGGGTTTAGGGTTTAGGGCTTACAGCAATAGCGCTGAACCCACCAAGCCTTGAACCCAGAGCCAAGCGACTGGTAGCCAGATCTTTACGAGAACGGAGGCTGCGTGGCGGCACATCAGAGTCGCAGCCATCCTCTCAACTTACACGGGAGAGTCCAGGCAAATGACGTAGTTGCGAAAGTTTAGGGGATTTAGGGGATAAGAGTCTTCCCTGTACTAGCCCAGTTACTAGTCGACTGCTTGATATGCCGCTGAATTGCTGCTGCACGCCACCCAACAGCAAAAAATGCAACGCAAGACCCACTATGATTAGCATAGTTTTTATACATGACCATGGCCGACAGTGTTTGTTTTGGAAAGTAGCAGCTGTCGACTGGCGCTCGTACGGCTTTCTCGGATCCTCCACAGCGAAAAATCTATCGGACATGTCATAAACGCAGCCACTCAAGAAATGCAGAAAGCTCTGGCGTGAAAAGCTGTGGGGTTTTAGAAGGTTTACGCTTACAAGGGTTAGGGACCGTTCTGGAAGTTTTATGCCACGGAGTCAGAAGGAACATGAGCACTAATTATTCCTACACCCTTCTGAACCCAGACTCTGCTACAAAATCACCCCCAAACCCTTATAGGCCCTAAACCCTGACAGCGGCCCGACCCCTCTCAACCCTGCATTGCAAGTAGGGGACAGGGTAGTTCAGGTCCTGACGAAGCTGACATCGCCGCAAGACTCTTTGGCGGTTTCCGACTGCCCCTCGATGGCCTGGCTACAAAGGTATGGTATTAAAAAGGGTTAAAGGAGACTACAGGTGGGGAGTTTAGGGTGCATAGGGCTTCCATAAGGCTTCTATATAAGGTATATAAACCTTCTATAAGGCTCCTATAACGGTAACTGCCCACCTGAAAATGTCCTAGATGCTGGTTCAAACCTCCGATGGTAGTCTCAAGTCAGGCGCAAGTCGCGACTCTGAGCTGCTGAGGGGAGCCCTGAACGGCGTTAATACTGGCAATCGACTGTTGGGGCAAGACCTTAACCTCAGCACCTTGCTTGAGAATGTTGCGGGTCGCCGACGGACTTGACGGAGCTCGATCTTTCAGCATCCAGCACTCACAAGTCAGCAAAGACCCAAACTGCATCCAACAAAAACACGACATCTACCAAGCTAAACATGCTGCGATGCAAAACTCTCGAGGTTCAGGACCTTGGGCCTCAGTGCCTCAGTTTTTCGGATCTATTGCGGGCGTGGGCTCAAGCATTCGGATTCAGAAGGAGTGGAGGGGAGCTTTGTGGGTAGTGCTGGCTGGAGGTCGGGGGGGTGGGTGGGTGGGTGGGTGGGTGGGTGGGTGTGGGTTTGTGGTTCTGTGGGTCGTAGTATGAAGAGAATGAAGGATACCTCTGTTGGATTATATCAGGGAAGTTCAAAAGTCTCCGAAAGGCTTTGACGCATTTGGGGGCCAAGGAAAACGCCTTAAACCATAGAATTAAAGGTGTGCATGTACGAATACGAGCACGCACATCCATCCATCCATACGTACTATATACGTATATAAACATATATATATATACACACACACACACACGCACGCACCCACCCACCCACCCACCCACCCACCCACGCACCCACCCACCCACCCACGCACCCACCCACATCCACCCACCCACC